TCTTTCATTCGAAATGAAGGTCCTCTAACAATGTTATCTCTGCAGATTCATCAAAACCAACTTTCTTTTCGTATCTACAAAATTATCATTCCATGTCATAGCCACAGTTAAAAGTTATCCCCAAAGTAAGTTAAGCATCAACAAAATGGTAAATTAAGCAAGCGTGGATTTACCTTCTAAATCAACGACGTTACTTATATTCAATGTAAGTAGGCTTCGTATCCAAGATTTCAATAAAAAAATCAGCCCAACTCATATCATTGTGGGAAAATTGAACTACCAGTCCTTCATCACCTTAAATTAACTTGGATGAATACATCTCATATAATTGATTTACTGGTAGTCTCGAAACGCTATTCATAAGCTTTAAAGTTTATTATGGCTTAGCCGGATTGTCGTTTCTGTCTCTTCTCTCTCAACTATCCCGACAAGACATGAATGAGCGAAATTGCCTTGCGCCTCTTAGTTTTGATTTTAATCCAAATGAAAAGTATTCTTAGGCTGGTTGCAAATAAGGCCCTTTGAAGAAGTTAGCAACAGGCCATGGTACTGCTCTGTTCGAGCATTAGGATGCCTGGTCTGTTCTCTTATGCCCGAGCACCTTGTCCACTCTACATGAATCAGTTCGTTTTCTTCCTCTTCCTCTATAGTGGACAGTCCTTCGTCACCGTAAATGAAATTTGTGGGATTCAGCTTTTAGCCCAGATTTAGCGGTAGTTTCGACAACCTACTTATGGAACGAAAAATAAGTAGTGTTTTGATTGAGTTAGCAAATACAACTTTGCTTCGTCGGCAATCCCACCTCAGAAATGTGATACCGAAAAGGCCTAGGCTGCCATGAAGTTCACTTCTACTTCACGATTGAAGTGATACAAGCAAGATTGTAGGAAAAAAAGAAAGATGATGAATACAGCTCTTCGTCATATTATTTGCCTTTGCCCTGTATCCACCTGACCCATCTTTGTGCCCAGTTGGCCAACATCACAGATGTTCTGCGAGACTCACACCAATCTCTGGTGGCCACCAATCAGCTGTTGATGCGCGAACTAGAGGAGATCAAGCATCAGAAGCTGCAAACCGATGTTCACCTTCAGAAGCCCGTCAACGCGTCATCGTTGCTGGTTCAGCGGAGCTCGAGTCCGAGGATGTGCGACACGGACATTCACGCCGCGACGACAGCTTCAGGTGGTCCCGATGGCCAACTACACCATAGTCTGGTCACCTTTCAGGAGCCACCAGTTGTGGGGGCCTCCGTTGGCAAGACGGGGCAAGTGCAGCTTTCTGGCCTCCTGTCACGTCTGTCCGAGGGGGGACCGATGGGAGGGGTGCCCGGTGAAGCGGAGTGCAGTGGTAGACCCGAGGCCGACCGCTTGTTTCCACACGACACCGGCTCTCTGGTCCGGTACCGGCTCGCCTCGCTGAGGCCTGACCAATTCTCGGAGTCGGTCGCATCATCCACTTTCCCGTCTCTCCCTCTCTACACTTCCGCTCTGCTGTCGGCCGCCTCGTCCGTCGGCCATCCTCCCGGCGCCTCGCTCGTGTCCTCCAGCTTGGCCAGCGGCCTGCTCAGCGGCGTCGGATTCGGCGGCCGAGACGGCTTGCAACCGTCTTTTTCCGTCGCTTTGATGCCCCATTCGACGCCGTCCGCCGTCCGGCTGGCGGGCTCCGGACGAAGCGTCCTCGCGACCAGTAGACCCTCGAACAGATCCGCGGGCGGCCTCAATCTGGCAAACTCTTGTAGGCCTGCCCCTCTGACGGATCGTCTCGAGGCACTGCAGGCCGCAGCCTCTCTGAAGGCTGCCTCGACAAGCAGGATTTGGGGCGAGGCTGAGGGTGAGTTTGGGCAGGGTTTTCAGCCCTAGTATATCACTACGATGTAATAGAGTATGGCTTTTCGTGCCTGTGTGTGTGTGTGTGTGTCTGCGTCTGTGTGTGTTTGTGTGTATCAGGAACCTAGACTAATCAGTCAAGGCAACGCGATCCGTCCTTCTCTTCGGTCGCATCAGTTGCTTCTGCCGTCCTTTCTAAACGCCAGTCTCGTTAATGCTGTGGTTGATTTGTGCAACTTGGTTCGCACTTGTTGAGACATGGCAGGCCATTTTGAA